AGATATATAAAGGGGTGGAAGAGAACAAAGGGAGAGAGGAGCCATCATGAAGAATCCCCTAGCTATCACCTGAGCTGGAACAAGAGCTGTACCAGGGGAAAGAATTGTGCCCAGGCCTAGAAGGTGTCCAGTCTGAGAAAAAACTTACTGAAGCATCTCTGAGGGTGGATTATCTGTGTTCAGTTTGATTAGGCATAGATTTGCGCATTTTATTTTATTTTGCTTGGTGACTTACTTTGTTCTGTCTGTTACTACTTGGAACCACTTAAATCCTACTGTCTGTATTTAATAAAATCACTTTTTATTTAGTAATTTACTCAGTGTTATAGAGGGTGAACAATTTAAGAGTTTGCCCTGCATAAGCTTTATGCAGGGTAAAACGGATTTATCTGGGTTTAGACCCCATTGGGAGTTGAGCATCTGAGTGCTAGAGACAAGCACACTTCTGTGAGCTGTTTTCAGGTAAACTTGCAGCTTTGGGGCAAGTGATTCAGACCCTGGGTCTGTGTTGGAGCAGACGGGAGTGTCTGGCTCAGCAAGACAGGGTGCTGGAGTCCTGAGCTGGCAGGGAAAACAGGAGCAGAGGTAGTCTTTGCACATTGGGTGGCAGCTCCCAAGGTGGTTTCTGTGATCCAACCCGTCACAGGGACCTCAATCTGTCATCTAATCCAGTCCCCAGCACTCAGGCAGGACTAAGTCATAACTAGACCATCCCTGACAGGTGATTGTCCAACCTGCTCTTAAAAAACCTCCAATGACAGAGATTCCTCAACCTCCCTAAGCAATTTTTTTTGCAATGCTTAACTACCCTGACAAGTAGGAAGTTTTTTCCTAATGTCCCACCTAAACCGTCCTTGCTGCAATTTAAGCCCATTGCTTCTTGTCCTATCCTCAGAGGTTAAGAACAATTCTTCTCCCTCCTCCTTGTAACAACCATTTATGTATTTGAAAACTGTTATGTCCCCCCTCAATCTTCTCCAGACTAAACAAACCCAGTTTATTCAATCCTATTTACTTCAGACCATTTCTCCAGTTTGTTCACATCATTTTGAATTATCCTATCCTCCAAAGCACTTGCAACCCCTCCCGGCTTGGTATCATCCGCAAACTAAATCATTGATGAAGATACTGAACAGAACCAGACTCAGGTCCAATGCCTATGATGACTACTACTACGAGACAGTATCTAAAGCTTTAGTAAAGTTAAGATATACCACAACTACAACTTCCCCTCCATCCACAAGGCTTGTTACCCTGCCAAAGAAAGCTATCATCAGGTTGGTTTGACATGATTTGTTCTTGACAAATCCAAGTTCACGGTTACCTATCACCTTATTACTTTCTAGGTGTTTGCAAATTGACTGCTGGATTAATTGCTCCATTCTCTTTGCGGGTACTGAAGTTAAACTGACTGGTTTGTAACTCCCTGCTTGGTGAGTGCTGACTGATGCTACAGCAATGTGCAGGAGCAATCTGTGGACCCTGAGATGAATTCAGGTCAGTGCAGAGCATTGATGGAGCTGGGGAGGGATGGAGAAGAGGCCTTTATTATTTCACCTTGGGCCTGATTTTCAGTAACTGGAGACCCAACTTGCACTTATGCATTTGCTCAAGCACTAACTGCACACACTAACCAGGGATCTACACGCACACCAGAGTTAAGCGCATGCACAAAAGCAGGTGCCGGCCTGGGGCTGCACTCAGAGCCAGTGCATGTGACTGTATTTGGAGGAAGCTGCACCCACTTGCCATCTTGTCCCAGGCTCTGTGCCAAACCCCACCCTGCTGTAACTCGACTGAAGTCCATGGGGTTACACCAGGGCTGAGTCTGGTCCATCACGTTTTGTTGTCATTTTAGCTCTCTGGGAGATGAAACACACAGCTTATCTCCACGCTAAGCTAGGGATCCTAGGGATCGTGGTCCTAGGGATCAGCAGTCACATGACCTCACTCCAAACTGACAAGCCGTATTATAACACACGGCATCATGGGTACATAGATCGCCATGGGACCAGGCTTTCAGTGCAGACTCAGTCAGTTCTGAAAACACATGGCAAACAAATCCCCACCTCCCGAGAGTTACCTGAAATGGCGAGGCATCCACCCAGAACAGGAGCCCAGGAGACGCACAGGAACTCCGCGCTTTGGCTGGCTGCAGAAACTTTGCACCTGGCCGATTTCAGAGGCTTTGGGATATTTCTCAAGTCTGTTAGTGTGAGCTGTCCTTCGGACGAGAGGCGGGCTATGGCGGGTGCATTCACATCAGAGCCCTGCAGACCAGAACTGACACCCATGCACCACTGCTCCCCACTGAGCGCCGAAGGAACGGACGTATCGCCCAGGGGACTCTGCGGCTGTCGAACATCTGCCAGGCACAGCCGGCCCTTCACGCAGCAGGCCAGCAAAGTATTACAGTCCAGGAATTCCAGGCCGCTGACCTCATCGCTGATACTAGAGGCTAAGAGAGGAGGAAGAGAACCTCAGACTCCACAGGATGCTCAGCTACAACTGCTAGGTTCAGAAATTGCAGGGGTGACAAATAGATCAAACACAGGGTTAAACACATTCCTTTCTGTGGAAGCAGACTTGGAAGCTGCTTTAGAAAGAGGAAGGGTCAGTTTTCAGGCAGGACTAGCAGCAGGGAGCTGGCGTATGCCCTAGGTCTATAACGGTAAAGCCTCAAATGCTAAGGGCCACATTCTGCTCTTGCTGGGGGGAGTTGACCCCTGGGCAGAGGACGTGCGCAGGTGAATCTACCGCAACACAAGGGTAGTCCCAAACCCAAATCCCCCACTCAAACTGCATATGAATAAGGCTACAAGACCCCCATGACACCAGGGAGCCCCGCAGCAGCCCAGTCTCCGTGGGCAGCAGGGGACCCTCCTACAACTGACCAGCTGCCACGGAGGGGGAGGGGTGGGGTGAGGGGGAATGAACCCTGCAGCTCCCACCAGTGGGGACCCCGGAGCTGTCCAAGGGCCCCCCTGCAGTTGCTCAGCTGCTGCAGCCAGCCAGCCCCTTCCCCCCGCCCGCGGCAGAGGGACCCCGGAGGTGCTCAGCTGCCGCAGGTGGTGGTGTCCTCTTCCCCATCCCCAGCTCCCAGCCACTGGACAACAGGGTCCCTGCAGCTCCCGTCAGGGATGTTTTTAGTAAAAGTCAGGGACAGGTCATGGCTTCTGTAAACTTTTGTTCATTGCCTGTGACCTGTCCCTGACTTTTACTAAAAATATCCATGACAAAACCATAGCCTTACACATGAGCCCCCAAGCTATACTCTCGTCCTCACCACGAAGAGCTCTGCTACTGACAGAAAAACAGCACGTTGGTATGGTATCACGGAGACACAAACGCACAACGCCAGCTACTTTTCACTATAGACGTGCACTTCTCAATGCCCCCTCAGCACAACCAGCCCCAGCTGCTGACATCTGAAAGCCACTGGGACTGGTAATACAAGTGTTGTCCCTCGGGTGTTGGATCTGTTGGGAGTGAAAGCTTATTTAGGCTTGACAGAAGCCTGCCGTGGATTTTACGAGACTGTTCTGATAGCGTTTAACACAGAAAGCATAAGGAGAACTGTGTATGTGTAAGAAATTGCAGAGTAATCCTGTTTGTGAGGACAAGAAAAGATAAAGTAACTAAAAAGCTAGAAAAGACCAGTGTGAACTAACACTAAACCTGTACTGATGGGAGAGGAGAGTTAACTGTGGTGAGATTTTCCTGATGAGCTTCCCACTGGTGAGTAACTGAGCGCTACTTGCTAAGTGTTTTGCCTTAAAAGATATTATGTAGACCCATCTTCTGAGTAAGTGACTATCAGTCCAACAGGACTGGGAACCCTGATCCTGGAATGTGGAATTATCCAGGCTTTGGACGGAGTTAGGGTAACATTTACAGAAAGGGCTAAGATCCACTGACTTTCAATAAGATTTAAGTTCCTAAATCACTATGGCCCCTGTGCAGCAGAGTTCAAAAGTGCCAACAGACAGGTCGTTCTAAGAGAATGTTGCATTGTGGGATTGCAGCTGGGGGACTGCTCATACTGGTACAGGCGTGTGCTCATGCTGTCACTGTGCCAGCAGAACTTTACCAACTGGGAGCTTGTGTCACTCTGAAAGGGGGAATAACTATGCTGGAAGAAATGGAGGATTTTGTCAGTAGGAGGGAAAAAATAAGTGTGGACATGCACCAGGTTGTGCTCAAAAAAGGGGAGTTTTGCTGGTACAATTTTCTAGCATAAACCACAGCCTACGAGTCTCTGAAAACAGTCTGCTTGGTCTACAGCACAGGTTCACAAACCTGGGGTTATAGCTGGGTTCATGGCGTTGCAACCACCACCCGTTCTTCACGGCTAGATAAGAGGAGGATGCCAAAACTATGTTCTGCTGCGACATGGGGTCACCATGAAGAAAACTTTTTGTAAGTGCCTAAAGGACTCAGGTGCCTAAGTCTCATTGGGATTTAGGCGCTTCTGAAAATCTTCCACTGAAAACCACTGGTTTAAAGAGTGCACTACTTAGGTAGTCTATTGTGAAATCTCCCTCCACCTCCAGCCCCAGCTTTATAAAGGCAAACAAGACCAGGTTTCTCTTTAAATACCTGCTGTGTAGATGTTTTTCTTTGATTCAATCTCTGTAATTTGGACATTGTTGACTCTTGAGCCATGAAGGACACAGGGGGTTCTGGCCAAAGTGGTTGCAATTTTAGCCCAAGGTTTCTTGCTGTCATTTCCCGTAGGGATGGTACTTACAGATTTAACAACATCTATTTGAAAGAGACACATAATGAGCTATAACAGTGCAAATACTGAATTAGTTACATTTTTGAACTGTTTTGTGAAGCTGTATTACAATTCAACCCACAATTGATATTTTAAATCCTCTTCCAAGGGCACAAATACCTTTCACAACACTTGGTAAAATGGTCTATTTAGAAATCTAGATAACCCAATTTAAAAGTGTTAAGCAGGTCGCTTGTTTTCAGCAAATGACAGAATAAATAAAATAATTGCAATAAATACTTAGCACTTCTCTTCCATGGACTTCACAGTGCTTTACAAAGTGGGGGTTTGACAGATGGGAAACTGAGGCACAGAGCAGTGATGTGATTTGCAAAGGGTCAGAGCGTAGAGCCCTTGTTCATACTGCTGAAAGCTCCTGCTTAGGAGAGTGATGCCAATGAAGTGAATGGGACAACTCCTGTGAGTATTTGCTTGCAAACAAGAGTAAGGGATTTACAATCCGTCCCAAAGCGAGTCAAAGGCAGTAAGGGAACAGATCCGAGGTGTCTTAACTTCCAGTCTGACTGGGCTGGGCTCCCGCCCTAGTGACAGCAGAGCAGACACCAGTGGTTAAAAACATGACATTGTCCTTTCAGCTAAACATCTCCGAGGCCAGAGGCAGTGCAGGGGATTTGGCCATGTGACTAGTAACACTGAGTGAAGATCAACTAAATGCATCCACAGACACGTGCTGAAAATGGACTCCAGGATCTATAACCTGCACGGTGTAGCAGAAGCTTCCCAACAATGGAAAGCTCAGATGGTGGGTCAGAGCCCCAGCTCGCTCCTGGCGAACTGTGGCTCTCTATACAACAATTTCACATTGACATACAGGCCAAAATTTCCAGGGACTAGTGATTTTGGGGGGTCAATCTGAGACACCTTAAAGAGGCCCAATTCTCAGCGATGCCGCTCACCCGCTCTTCCGGAGGGTCTCAGTTTGGGCTCCCGTAACGCCCAGCCATTTTTGAGAGTTTAGGCCATAGAGCCTTTTTTGTCCTCCATAATTCCAGGGCACTTCAATAAGAAACGTTAACACTCTGCCCTTCTCTAGCACCTTCCATCCAGGAGCCTCCAAGTACTCCATAACTAGGAGAGGATTAATTCACACGACCCCCCGCCTCCTGTGTAGTAGGGAAGCTCTAACCCTCTTGGGCAGCAAGGCTGAGCAAGTTGCCAATGGTACTTTATACGTCACCCGTGCTGCAGGAGGACTATGCAGAGAAGAGCTAGCGGCAGACTGTCTACCTACCAATTTAAACTTGTGTAACAGCTGCTCAGACATGCACTCACCAGTGTCCTCCGCTGCCAACTGCCACACCTGCAGGGAACTATCTGGCGGGCCACTTGTTACCAGCAAGCTGTGAAAACAAGGAAACCAGATGCAAGCTCTTCATTAATGGGAAGTGGCCTTTCCCCTCAGGACTGGTACATGCTGGTGTTGACAGGCATGTCTGTTCTCTCTATTTCCTCCCATCATGCCCAGGGCTCAGGCTCAGTTTCTCCCATCCTGCACCTGGGGCAGGGACAGGCACAACTGTGGCATTAAGCTACGCTATGGCCGCCTGCATTTGAGGACCTCGCAGGAGTCTGCCTGGTTCCCCCTGTAGTTAGAGCAGCCCCAGGGGGGCAAACACTGAGGAAGGGAGACTAGCAGAGGGATGTGTGCGCATGGGGTGGGGAATCTGCTGAAGAGGTGGGGTAAACTGGTAACAGAAGTTGGCTGTTTGCATGGCCCTCAAATGGCCATGAGAAAGTCTTTGCAGAGTGTCCAGTATTCTCCTCGGCAGGAACACTCCAGCCCAAGAGAGGTGAGAGTCCAAGGTATAGCAGACGGTGCCAGTTGCTCAGCTTAACGGACACCAAGGGCTGCTTTGCCTTTTCATTCCTGTCCTGCTTTAATGTCAGCAATTGAGTCTCTGCCGCCAACACTAGACTGGGCAAAGCACTGGAAAATATCCAGGGAATGATCTGTGGGAGCTTGGGGGGGAGGAGAGGGAAAGGGGAGAGAGAGCCTCCCCAGGTCAGTGAAGGAGGCCGTTTGCAGGAGCTGCCTCCTAAAAATTCCACCACCAGGGCAGTCCTTTCAGTGGTTTCCCACCAGGAGGGGGCGCTGCTAACACTGCCTCTTCTCTACAGCTGCTCCCTTTCTGCTGGCTCCTCTGATCTCCCCTCCCCTGCATGATACAGGAAAGCAAGAATAGAGCGGCCAGCTGCCCCATGCACCCCACAACACAAGCTTGAGCACTTCTGTACTGGGGAGGCAGGGGAAGGAGATATCCCAGCGGGTGAGATACCTAAGGCACCTCTCCTGGGTGAGGCCATGTAGAAAACCCCCAGAGAGGGAGGACCGCCGGAGGAAGAGAAAGAGGTGAGCCAATGGAATGCACAGGGGAGTATACACAGGAGCGCATGGGGGAGGGGCCAGGAGAGGCATCACCACATCAGAGAGTGCGGAGGGGGGCGGGGGGAGATGGTGAATTGAGGCAACAGCAAGAAAAAGTGAGAGAGGAAATTGACCTGGCACTGTAGGGAGAAGGAAGGAGCCAGAGCCCTTTCCGCTAGGGGATTTTCACATATGTTCCTGTTTTACTGGACCTCCCTTGGCAGATAGCCTGGCTGAGTCTTTGGGGGATGGGGAGGGCTCTTTTGAGCCCTTGTTACATTCATTTTGCTGGCCAGCTATGTTAAAAGCTGGCAAGTCTTGTGAGGTGGCTCAAACTGGACAGGGAAGGGGGAGTTTTCATCGAACAAAACAAATCCAACACATCCATTCAACAGGAACCAGAAAGTCCCCATCTATATACCTGGTGTCTGGCACATGCCGCAGGCTGTACACAGGGCGGTCGGAAAATCCACCACGTTCCACCTTGAAATCTCTCTCGGGACACAAACCCTACAAACCAGAAGCAGACAGATGCTGTTCTTTAGCACATAATGCCGCTAAGTTCAACATTCCTTCACTCTTTCAAGGTAACTGGGCAGCAAGTCAAGGTCTGTAAGGGCTGAAGTCCTCAGGTACAGTTAATACTGTCAATTTATGCAGTGTTTTTTATCCGGGGGGATCCCAAAGCACTTTGAAAACAAACTGATATGCAGGGAGTGTTTCCGCACCCAGCTCTGGGGAGAAGCCGAGCATATGACCATTGCACAGTTTGAGACAAGACACGAGGAACACTATATTCAATACAACGGCAAGGGGATGACCAGAGCTGAGGTGTGGCCAAGCACCAGGGTTTAACATTCCTGCTCTTGGAGTCACTGGAGGTTCCAAGGCATTTCTCACTAGCAGCCATGACTTTGGATTTACAACTCACCTAAAAGACAGGAACTCCAACAGCAGAGTGCCCCGTTCCCGCACGCTGGGGCACTGGCCAGCGGGGAGCATGCCACCCAGGAACCAAGCACCGTTTTCTGCAGCACTGGGAAGCTCGTCCATTTAAGTACTAACTTAGTCTGCTTTCACTTTGCCTGGGCAATCAGCGGAGAGCACGGCACAAGATGGCACAGGAGGTACCAATACAAAAACGTTTGCAAGGGGGTACTATGGTGTTTGTTATAAGTGCAGGGAGATGCTAGGGGTTCCTTCAGAAACCCAAGGGTGCAAATCTGAAACACTGCCAGATCACAAAAGTTTTTGTTCTGGGGGTGGGGATGAGAGTCAGTCAGAACTGAGCAGAGCTTCTCAAATGAAGACACAGGGAACAAACTGGCAGTGTGGCCTGGTGGACAGAGCACTGGATTGGAACTCAGCAGATGTGGATTCATTTCCCTACTTGCCACTTGCCTGCTGGGTAACCTGAGACCAGTGGCTTTGCGTCTCTGTGCCTCAGTTTCCCTCTCTGTAAAATGAAGACAATGAAACTGATGTCGGATGTAGAGTGCTTTGAGATCTACAGAGAAAAGTGCTAGAAGAGCTAGTGTTCTTATTCTGCATGAGGTTCTGCATGCAGGGAGTCTGCAGGATTGGGCACTTAGTGAGGTAGATGAGTTGAGTCCAAATATGACTGCAAACGGATTTAAACTAGCTGAGTAAAGAAGGTAACAAGCAAAGCAGCCCAGGAGTCTGCACGAATTAACTCCAGAGCAGCTGGTGTCCGCACATTCATCCACACTGCCCTGCGATAGGAACAACCTCCTAAAACTAAGGGTACGTCCAGACTACCCGTCGATTTGGCGGGTAGTAATCGATCTACCGGGGATCGATATATCGCATCTCGTCTACATGCAATATATCGATCCTCAAACCGCGCTCCCGTCGATTCCAGAACTCCACCAGGGCGAGCGGCGGTAGCGGAGTCGATAGGGGAGCCGCGGCCGTCAATCCCGCGCCGTGAGGACCCGAGGTAAGTCGAAAGAAGATGCATCGACTTCAGCTACGGAAATCCGTAGCTGAAGTTGTGTATCTTACATCGACACTCCCCCCGTGTAGACCAGCCCTAATTCACCAAGCCACTTCTCTCTCTCCTCATTCAATTCCTCCTGAAAACTTACCCCAGCCCTATGACAAGTCAGTCCACACTCACAACCACAACACCATACTCAGATGGAAACATCAAGATGCATCCATGCCTTCACTGAGTGATCTCAATGTATCTCTTGTTCTACCTTGTGTATCTAACTAGGTCATGTCTACATGCAGCCTATAAATTCTTCAGGGGGTGGACCCTGTCTTTTTGCGGGTTTCTGTAGAACGCCTGCTGGCTGCACACATTTGGGGGAGATAAAGAAGTTGAAATGAATACCACACTTAGTCACCATCACCTGCTTCTCTTTCACATACAGTTTTTGAGGCAACAGGAGCTGGAGAATTTCATTTCTTCTGGAGCTTTCGTATCCCGCTACACAGACACCTAGAGTTACAAAAGAAACAATTACCACTTCAAAAAAGACGGTTACTCACCGTTGTAACTGTTGTTCTTCGAGATGTGTTGCTCATATCCATTCCAGTTAGGTGTGTGCGCGCCGCGTGCACGATCGTCGGAAGATTTTTACCCTAGCAACACCCGGTGGGTCGGCTGTGGAGCCCCCTAGAGTGGCGCCGTTATGGCGCTGGATATATACCCCAGCCGACCCAGCGCCCCCTCAGTTCCTTCTTGCCGGCTACTCCGACAGTGGGGAAGGGGGGCGGGTTTGGAATGGATATGAGCAACACATCTCGAAGAACAACAGTTACAACGGTGAGTAACCGTCTTTTCTTCTTCGAGTGCTTGCTCATATCCATTCCAGTTAGGTGACTCCCAAGCCCCACCTAGGTGGCGGGGTCGGAGTGAGACATTGCTGTGTGCAGAACCGCTGACCCGAAAGCAGCGTCGTCTCTGGATTGTTGCACCAGCGCATAGTGAGTAGCAAATGTGTGGACCGATGACCACACTGCAGCTTTACAAATGTCCTGGATTGGTACTTGAGCCAGAAAGGCAGTCGAGGAGGCCTGGGCCCTCGTGGAATGAGCGGTGAGGCGTGGCGTCGGTACACCGGCCAGGTCGTAGCAAGCACGAATACAGGACGTGATCCAAGTGGACAGGCACTGTGAAGAGACCGGTGAGCCTTTCATCCGGTCGGCCACCGCAACGAAGAGTTGCGTCGTCTTCCTAAATGGCTTTGTACGGTCAATATAGAAAGCCAGGGCCCTGCGTACGTCCAAAGAGTGTAAACGCTGGTCTTGACGAGTAGCGTGCGGTTTCGGATGGAAGACCGGGAGGAAAATATCCTGGTTCACGTGGAAAGGTGACACCACCTTTGGCAGAAAGGCAGGATGGGGGCGAAGCTGCACCTTGTCCTTATGGAACACCGTGTATGGGGGCTCGGATGTCAGCGCCCTGAGTTCCGAGACGCGCCGTGCTGAGGTGATGGCTACCAGGAAGGCTGTCTTCCAAGATAAGTACAGGAGCGAGCAGGTAGTCAATGGTTCAAACGGAGGCCCTGTGAGCCTGGAGAGGACGAGGTTGAGGTCCCACGTTGGAACCGGCTGTCGCTGCTGTGGGTATAGCCGGTCTAAGCCCTTGAGGAATCTAACGACCATCGGGTTCGAGAAGACCGAGGACGTGAGTTCCCCTGGGTGGAAAGCGGAAATAGCGGCGAGGTGAACCCTAATTGAGGATGTCGCCAAGCCTTGCTGTCTGAGGGACAGGAGATATTCCAGTATCAAGGGGATAGGAGCCTGCGAGGGAGACGTAGCTCGTTGCTCACACCAGCAGGAGAACCTCTTCCACTTGGCTAAATAAGTGGTCCGCGTAGAGGGCTTTCTACTTCCCAGCAGGACCTGTTGGACGGCCTGCGAGCATTGCCGCTCTGAGCGACTCAACCATGAAGCATCCACGCCGTGAGGTGGAGCGACTGCAGGTCGGGGTGACACAGCCGGCCGTGGTCCTGAGAGATGAGATCCGGACTCAAGGGGAGCGTGATCGGCCTCTGTACTGACAGCTCTAGAAGTGTGGTGTACCAGTGCTGTCTCGGCCAAGCAGGAGCGACTAGAATTACCCGTGCATGGTCCCTGCGGATCTTGAGCAGCACCCTGTGGACCAGCGGGAATGGGGGAAAGGCGTAGAACAGATGGTCTTTCCATGCCATGAGGAAGGCGTCCGACCGAGAGCCCGGGGCTCGCCCGTGTAGGGAGCAGAATGCCTGGCACTTCCTGTTGGCCCGAGATGCGAACAGGTCGATCTGGGGAAACCCCCACCTCTGGAAGACGGAATAGATGATGTCCGGGCGAATCGACCACTCGTGCGTTTGGAAGGACCTGCTGAGACGGTCCGCCAGCGTATTCTGGACTCCAGGCAGGAATGTATCGAGATGTGAGATGTATCGAGTGGGCGATGCAAAAGTCCCACAGGCGAATGGCCTCTTGGCATAGGGGAGATGAGCGGGCTCCGCCTTGCTTGTTGATGTAAAACATGGCCGTGGTGTTGTCGGTGAGAATCAGCACGCAACGGCCCTGTAGGAAGTTGAGGAAAGCCTGACAAGCCAGGCGCACTGCCATCAGCTCTCGGACGTTGATGTGCAGGGCTAGTTGGGACGCCGACCACAGGCCTTGGGTATGATGCTCCCCCAGGTGAGCGCCCCATCCTAGAGATGAAGCGTCCGTAACTAGGTGGAGGGAGGGCTGTGGGGCGTGAAAGGGTACTCCTGCACAGACCGCCGTGCGATCCGTCCACCATGTGAGGGAGGCCAAGACTGCGGTCGGAACCGTGACCACCATGCTCAGGTCGTCTCGATGAGGACGGTAAACCGATGACACCCAAGTCTGCAATGGGCGAAGTCGCAGCCTGGCGTGCCTGGTTACGTAGGTGCACGAGGCCATGTGGCCCAAGAGGGCAAGGCATGCCCTTATGGTGGTAGTTGGAAAGGCCCTGAGTCCTTGAATGACGCTTGAGATGGTATGAAAGCGGCTGTCTGGCAGGATGGCTCGGGCATGTCTGGAGTCCAGGATTGCTCCAATGAACTCTATTCTTTGAGTTGGCACTAGAGTGGACTTCTCTTTGTTGAGTAGAATGCCCAGCTCGTGGAAAGTGCGTGTCACTATGTGGACATGGGCCTGCACTTGGTCTCTGGTGCGGCCGCGTACCAGCCAGTCGTCCAAGTACGGGAACAGCTGTATCCCTTGTCGACGAAGGAAGGCCGCGACGACTGCCAGGCACTTTGTGAAGACCCTGGGAGCCGAGGACAAGCCGAAGGGAAGGACTGCGAATTGGTAGTGTACCCTGTTTACCACGAATCGCAGGAAACGTCTGTGGGGCGGATAAATTGCTATGTGAAAGTAAGCGTCCTTCATGTCGAGGGCGGCGAACCAGTCTCCAGGATCCAGTGAAGGGATAATGGTCCCCAATGACACCATGCGGAACTTCAACTTTACTATGAATTTGTTGAGTCCGCGTAAGTCTAAGATGGGCCGTAGACCCCCTTTTGACTTGGGTATCAGGAAGTAGCGGGAGTAAAACCCCCTGCCCCTTAGCTCCGAAGGAACCTCCTCTATGGCCCCCATAGCGAGGAGCCCAAAAACCTCCTGTGTAAGGAGTTGCTCGTGAGAAGGGTCCCTGAAGAGGGACGGGGAGGGGGAGTGGGATGGGGGGGGCGAGGAAAACTGGAGGGCGTATCCCCTCTCCACCGTGCGAAGGACCCAACGGTCCGAGGTTATACGGGACCAAGCACGGTGGAAACGGGAGAGGCGATCCCGGAAGGGGGGAACCGGATCCTGGAAAGTGGCTAAGGTGCCGTCCTCGACCGCACCTTCAAAAGGCTTGCCTAGGCCCCGAAGGTGGCCTAGGTTGGCCCTGGTTCTGACCGGGTTGAGGGCCGGTCGACCTTCGCCTACCACCTCGACCCCGCCTCCTAGCAAAGTCCTGTCTTGGACGAGGCGGGGGAGGGTAGAACCGCTGAGGCTGTGGCCTGAAGGGCCTGCGCTGAGGCCCTGGGACATGCATCCCCAGGGAGCGCATCATTGTTCGAGAGTCCTTAAGGTTTTGGAGCCTCGAGTCTGTTTTCTCTGAAAAGAGGCCCTGTTCCTCGAACGGTAGGTCCTGCAGGGTCTGCTGCAGTTCCGGAGGCAAGCCCGACACCTGGAGCCAGGAGATTCGGCGCATTGCTATCCCCGACGCCAGGGTCCTAGCGGCCGAGTCCGCTATATCAAGGGACGCCTGTAGGGAGGTGCATGCCACCCGCTTGCCCTCCTCTACCAGGGCCCCAAACTCGTCCCTCGAGTCCTGGGGAACCAGTTCTTTAAATTTCCCCATCGAGGACCACATATTGAAGCCGTAGCGGCTCAGTAGTGCCTGCTGGTTCGCTGCCCGCAATTGCAGTCCGCCAGCCGAATACACCTTGCGTCCAAACAAATCGAAGCGCTTAGCGTCCTTCGATTTGGGCGCAGCGGCCTGCTGGCCATGGCGCTCCCGTGCATTCACTGAGGAAACCACCAGTGAGCACGGTTGGGGGTGAATGTACAGATACTCATGTTCCCTGGATGGGACAAAGTATTTTCTCTCAACCCCTCTGGCCGTGGGCGGAATAGAGGCCGGGGTCTGCCAGATAGTAGTGGCGTTGGCCTGGATGGTGCGGACCAGCGGTAATGCCACCCTGGATGGAGCATCCGCTGAGATGATCTGCACTATCGGGTCATGGACCTCCGCAACCTCCTCCACCTGGAGGTCCAGATTGCGAGCCATGCGCCGCAGTAGGTCCTGATGGGCCCGAAGGTCTATCGGGGGCGGCCCGATGGACGACGTGCCCGCTACGGCCTCATCAGGAGAGGACGAGGATGATGCCCTCGGTGGCAAGGGGTCCAATGGTTGGTCCTGCTCCAGGTGTTCCTGGTGTTGGGCATCCCCTGCCCCCTGGTCAGGGGCCTCTGCAGGTGCGGGCACTGGAGCCTCCACGTCCCTTGGAGGAGGGCGGGAGATGGTAGACTCTGGGGCCCTGGTGTCCGAACGGCCAGAGCGGGAAGCCGACAGGGGAGCTCCTTGAGCTTGGTGGTAGGCCCAAGGAGTCCAAAAGGACCAATGCGCAGGCCCTTGCATCGGGTCCTCGGTCTCCTGCAGGTGGCCGGGCTCCACCGTCTCAGATGACCGGGACGCCGATCTCGACGGCCACGGCGGTGCCGAACCCGATGCCGTCGGCACCGGATGGTACGGTGCCGATCGGTGCCGACCGTAAGGGGACCTGTCCCTGCGTTGTTCCGGCGAACGGTGCCGGGACCTGGACCGGTGCCGATAGTCCCTCCGGTGCCGGGATCCCGATCTGGAACGTGACGACGATCTGGAGGAGGCGTGGTACCGGGAGCGGCCTCTCGAGCCCGAGTGGCGCTCATACCGGTGCCGGGAGCTGCGCCTCGACCCCGATCGGTGCCGGTCGTCACGGCGGTGCCGGGATGTTGAACGGCGCCGCGAGGAAGATCTGGGCCGTGAGTACGACCGGTGCCGAGGTGACCCTCGGCGCCGGGACTCCGAGCGGCGTCGGGACCTGCTTCGGGATCTGGAGCGGTGCCGAGAGACTCGTGCTGGCGACGGTGGGCGCACCAGGGCAGGCTTGCCTCTGGACTGCAGCACGCGTGGAGCCACCGGTGCCGGGAGTTGCGACGGCGACGGCTCCGTGAGGGCGATCAGGTCTCTCGCCGTAGCAAAGGTCTCCGGGGTGGAAGGGAGACAAGGTTCCACCACCAGCCTTGGTGGTGAAACAGTCCGCACCGGACTCAACGGCCTCGGTGCCGGAGTCGACGGTGTGGCCGCCTGTCTTTGGCGGTCCAGCTGCGGACGCGGCTCTACCCCCGGCACCGGGGGAGCCGGTACCTTCGCGGCAACAACGTCCCGTGTCTTAGCGGTCTTCTTATGGCCCGGAGAGATGGATCGGTGCCGAGGCTCTTTGGGCGGGCGCGGTGCCGACGTCGGTCGGTGCCGAACAGTCTTTTCTGCCGCACCGGTCGAGCCCGCCGGGGCGCTGCGCACCGAAGCGCTCGGTGCCGGGACAGGGCGCGCCGAGGGAGGATCTGGACTCAGAGCCGCCTCCATGAGGAGCTGTCGGAGCCTAAAGTCCCGCTCCTTCCTTGTCCTTGGCTTGAAGGCCTTGCAGATAGGGCACTTATCTGCTGGATGAGTCTCTCCCAGGCACTTCAAGCAGGAGCTATGCGGGTCGCTAGTTGGCATGTGCTTCCCGCAGGACGCGCACGGCTTAAAGCCAGGAGCCTTGGGCATGGGCCCGGCTGCGCGCCGGGGGGAAAAGGGGAAAAACACCCCCTAAACCCCCGATAACAACTTACAACTATATATATATACACTATAACTAACTACTAACTAACTTGAACAACTATCTATATAACTAAATACAACAAGAGCAATGAGAAGCTAGGGAGTGTGGAGATCAGCTAAGCCGCGCTCCACAGTTCCAACGACCGTCAGGGGCGGTAAGAAGGAACTGAGGGGGCGCTGGGTCGGCTGGGGTATATATCCAGCGCCATAACGGCGCCACTCTAGGGGGCTCCACAGCCGACCCACCGGGTGTTGCTAGGGTAAAAATCTTCCGACGATCGTGCACGCGGCGCGCACACACCTAACTGGAATGGATATGAGCAAGCACTCGAAGAAGAAGTTTTTTTTTCTTACTTAATTGGCCTCTCAGAGTTGGTAAGACAACTCCCACCTGTTCATGCTCTCTGTATGTGTGTATATATATATCTCCTCAATATATGTTCCACTCTATATGCATCCGAAGAAGTGGGCTGTAGCCCACGAAAGCTTATGCTCTAATAAATTTGTTAGTCTCTAAGGTGCCACAAGTACTCCTGTTCTTTTTGCGGATACAGACTAACACGGCTGCTACTCTGAAAAAAGAAACAATGAGGAGATGGGTTCAGGATGAGCCTGCTCATTCACCAGGAACAATCTTCTGAAGGGAATTTAAGGATTAGGGTGTTAGCTGTACTGTGGGAAATCTGTCTCAAATCACAACGTGCTGCCATTGGATCAATTTACCCCTCTCCTCTACATTTGCAGGAGACTCATCCTTCTAATCCGTTTCTTCCTTCTACTTTGGTATTTTTTACCCCAACAAACTTCTCCTTCATTGTTTTCCCATTCCATTTTACTCTCCACAGGATCACACCACTGTCTCAGCTACAGCACATAGTACTTGCGCAGAGGCAACAATTGGAGTTGCTGACACAGACCTAATAAATTTCACTCAACTAATCCTGCTGGATGAGGTGCTATGTGCAGGAATCCCGGGGGTGAAAGGTCACAGTAATGTAATGTAGGAGAAGCACCACCATACAGCAGCATTCCCAATCCCCTTCAGCAGCCGAGGACTGAACTACTGTCTGGGCACCTGTACATAATGCTTCCTCAGCAGAAGGAGCTTGACAAGGATCCTATCCCTCTCTACTGCTGCTCCTGTTAAGGCCACTGGGAGGGTGTTGCGAACACAAGCAGCACTAGAAGCACAATTTTCTTAGAATGAGGCAAGGTTGCAGAAACAATAAAGGCTTTTATGGCAACAGCGCCTTTGGTTAACCAAAGCACTAGACTCCAGACCTTGGCCAGTCTCCTGCTCCCTCAAAAAGTCCTGGACTGTGGGGTATGTATACAGAACATTTCAACTACTGGCCAGTGATTAAAAACCAGCTCACAGGAACATAGAAACTGCCACACTGGAACAGATGAGCAGTCCATCTAGCCCAGTATGCTGTCCCTGACAGTGGCCAGAACCAAATGCTTCAAATAAAAGTATGAGAACTTTTCAACTGCAAATGTATAATAATCTACCTGAACATAAGCCTTCTCCTGATCTCTAATAGTGATTAGCTTAGACCCTGAAGCACAATGCTTAAATACCGGCCAAATTTTTGTCATTAATTTTAACACTGAATATGCCTGAAGCACCTGATCTACCTTCTCTAGAGAGCATTCATTATTTTAATACACTTTTATCATGTCCCCTCTTATTCATCTCTAGTCTAAGGTAACGATCCTAATCTTTTCAATCTGTCTTTTTTAGTAGAGTGTTTGCAGGCTCTTGCCTGTTCTCTGAACCACCTCTATCTCTAGTTGCTAGTAAGTTATCACCATCTGATGGCTGTTTAGTGGCCCATGTGAAGTAAGTCTGGGGTCCATATCACAAAATTTACCATAGTTGATTACTTGTAGCATTGTCGTAGGCATGCTGGTCCCAAGATATGACAGAGACAAGGTAGAGGAGATAATCTTTTATTGGACTTACTTCTCTTGATGGAAAATACAAACTTTTGAGGTACACAGAGCTGTGTGATCTGAAAGGGTGTACCTTCCACTAACAGAAGTTGGTCCAATAAAAAATATTATTACTCACTCAACTTGTCTCACTCCAGATTAATTAGCAGATGGCCTATCCCAAATCTTTCCATGGAATCTTCTGGAAATATATGCTGTATTTGCCAGTGCTGTACCTATTTCTGTGGACTGACAAGAGTTCATCTCTCCAGGGCTGAGAAACGGGCCACTTTCACCAGCACTAAATTCACCCAGAAATAAATATGGGAGCCACTGAGTTCTGAAAACAGCTACTAATTTTGCCAAGCAAACACAAGTGAAATGACTCACTTTTTTCTCCTATCCATTCAATGACTCTTGTCGGCTCTTGGAGCTCAAACACATGCAAATCATTATATCTGAAAGCAAAAAAAAAAAAAAGAGCATTAGAACTGGAACAATTTGTATAGTGGGGGTGCTAAGAGCCACTGAACCAATATGTAAATCCGGTACATGATAGAAACCACTTCAAACCAGAGGGTGCAGCAGCACCCCCAGCACCTATGCATTAGACCAGCCCACAGAGAAGGCAATCTCTCTCACACGGGTTATGGATGGGGCTGATAACGATCGTTGCTTATCTCTGCTTCCCGTCTGGAGCGCTCAACGCGCCATACCACCGACGTCAGTATCACTGGCTCCGTTAGTCACATGGGGAAACTGAGGCACGGAGCGGTGAAGTGACTTGCTCAAGGCCAGTGTGGCCCCGAGCCTGACCCCGCACCTGGCCCGGGCCGCGCAGGCTGCTCTGGGGGCGGGGGCAATGGCTGGTCCCCTCCCGCCCCCGGAGGCGGCGCGTGACCCGACCGGGGCTGACGTGCGAACGGGGGCTCGAGCCCCGGGCCTGGGGGGGAGGGGACAGGGCCCGGCCGGGATCTCGGGGCGCTCCCGGGCCCCAGGGCGGAGCACTCACAGCCGCAAGGACTCCAGCAGCCAATCCTCCGCCGACTCCTCCGCCATGCCGAGGCAGGCGCGCGCGCCGCCCAACGGCCACAGGCTCACATGACCCCTCCTCTCCACGTGACCGACTTTTCCAGGGCGGCAGCCACGCCAGTCACGTGATACTCCAACACGTGACGCGTCTTGGACCCCAGGATTCCTTCTCTGGCGAGGGCGTCACGTGACAGAGGAGGTCTTCCCCCTCCTGCTGCATGGGGGGGGGCTACCGGCTCCTCCCTCGCCGGGCAGCCCCGAGCCCGCCCACTGCGGCTGCGCAGTCGCCGCCACGCCCAGGCTCCTTCCACTCCCCCGATCTCAGCCGCGAGGACGCGCTCTGCGCGGGCAGCCGCCCCTCTACGCACGCGCACAAGCCGGTCGTTCTCCCCCCCGCCGGGCTGGAGCCGCCTGGGCGCGCTCCGTGCGCGGGGCGGGGCCTGGCTGCCGGTGGCCGTGTGGGGTCAGGCCCATGGGGCACCCAGCCCCGTAGCCTGTGCGACGCTGGCCAGTGCCCGGTGACGGGGCAAGCGGCCGTGCTCCTAGCTGCGGTCAGGCAGCCGCTCAGGGCGCCCGGGGCGAGGGGTCGCTAACAGCCATCCAGCCCAGTAGCCTGTCTGCCGACAGTGGCCAATGCCAAGTGCCCCAGAGGGAACCGAGGGTTACCATATGTGGAGTGTCCCAAAAGAGGACACTCCACGGGGCCCCGGCCC